TACTACTGGATATTAACTTTGTCACTTGGTTAAGGTGGCACATGCAAATATACAGCACTGTTTTTCACTTTGTGACTAATACATCTCTTGGAGGAGCTAATTTTGAGATGATGTACATATGCTTATTTTCCTCAACTCTGGCTGGCCCACTAACCTCAGTATTCTGTTGGTGCATCTTGCCTGCGGTGCTCATTTCTGTAACCTAATGGTGATTGTCTGTTTGCCTTGTTTCTTCTGCACTTGTTAACTGGAACTCTCCTGTATATATTCATTCTTGCATGCATGCATTTGTGCCATTATACACTCAGCTGTTTTCCAAATTCTGTGTGTTACAGCCCAGTGCCCTTACCTTGTCACTCAGATTATTCTTGTTTTAGTCATTGTCAGTCCATTCAGTTTGATTGCTGTCCTTGTGTTACTCTCTCCCCCCAAATTTTCAGCCACTACAGAATGCTCAGGGGTCCTCCCTTGTCACAGCTCTGAGATCAACTCTGGAAGGCTTGTTCCATTTTTCACCCCCCTTCCTCTGTTTCTTGAGATGGGGTCATTCTGTGTAGCTCAGGCTAGCCTCAAACTGGTGATGCCTCTGCCTCCTGAGTGCTGGAATTATAGGCATGCACCACCAGGCCTGGCTCCTGTTCCATTTTTATTATTAAAGGCGATTAAAATCCAGGGAGCAGGGTAAGCTTGTTGCTTCTGAGGAATCATTGCTTCTCAACCTCTCCTTAGGACAGCAATGGAAATCTGTGCATACTTCTTTATATGGATCTGTCTGTGTATGTACTTAAAGACCCACAGTTCATATTGTTAAGTTCCATTTCCAGTCCAACTTTCCTTCTTTGTAACTTTCTTCAGCAGTGAGGAATCAATTGATCCTTTATTATCTTCTTTGCGCATTTACTCATTTGCTCAGTTCTAGTGTGTACTGCATGTGTTCAAATTCACTAACCCATATTTCTTGTGAGAAACAACTTTAGTAGTTGAATTGAGTACCGGTGAATCCAGCCCACTTCCTGTTTGTGAGAATAAAGTTTTATTGGAACACAGTCTGTTCATTTGCTTATATGTTGTCTGTGGTGGCTCCTTCACTACAGTGATCAAGTCTAGTAGTTGCAGCAGAGACTGGATGGCCTACAAAGCTGAAAGTATTTACTGTCTGGTCCTTTACAGAAAGTGTTTGTTGACTCCTAAACTCTAAGAGTATAGATTTTATACACTTTTCTTTTTGTCTTTAACTTTACAAGGTTCTAGTCAAAATACTGTTTTCCAGAGTTACCTTTTCTTCTCACTCCTTCAGTGTGGTTGTCTTATTCATTCCTCATACAATTAGGTTCATTCCTTACTGCATATGTTCCGTTTTCGGTTCCCCACAACACATCCTGATCAATTGCAAAAACATATTTTTGGGTGGGTGAAACATTGCTGTGACTCTAGGAGTGGAAACTACAAAAAGGTGTAAGGGTACACTTAGTGCTACTCGCCCCTCTGTGCCACTTCTCCATCCCAACAAGCTCTCCACTCCTGATTCCATGCATGCCATAGGGAAACAATCTCTTTGGTTGTGGGTGTTGTGCAGATCCACATATGGACGTATGCTTTCTTGATGCATATCTTCTTTCTTACAGGAAGGGTGGCATGTTAGAGGCACTCTTTTGCACTTAGTAGTCTGTCTTGTAAATAACTTCATATCAGCTCTTAGAAAGCATTCTCATTTTTAAAGATAGCTGCATAGGACTCCATTGTGTGAATGTGCCAGAGCTTATTCAACTGTTCTAGGTATGGCCTTGTTTTAGCTACAAGCAATGTTGCAGTGAATAACCACACATCTGTGTAGTTGATATCATTGGGGACCAGTCTCTGGGATATCTTCCTAGAACTGGGCTTCTCCATCAGAAGGAATCTACAGGTGTAATTTTCTTGACTATTGTCAAGTTCAGAAGGATAGACCCAGCTTATATTCTCATCAGGGTATGAGAAGCTTGTTTCCCCAACCTCACTCACACAAGGTACTGTTTTCTCTTGAGTTTATCCCTGTGTTTTTAACTTGGAATTTTTTTCTTCCTTTTTTTTTTTTTTTTTGGTCCTGGAGTTTGAACTCAGGGCTTTACACTTGCAAAGCAGGCATTCTACTGCTTGAGCCATGCCTCCAGCCCATTTTGCTCTGGTTGTTTTTGGAGATGGGCTCTTGTGAACTATTTGCCCAGGCTGACATTGAACCTCCATGCTCCCCATCTCAGCCTCCAAGGAGCGAAGTAAGATTAGAGGCATGAGCCACTGACACCCAGCCAATTAGGAATTTATTAAACAGTGAGCTTCAACACTTTTCATATGTTTGATTTCTTTTTTTTTTTTGTATTTTTACTTCCTTTGAGTGTGAATTGCCTATTGTACTTTTCCCATTTAAATCATATTTTAGTCACACGTTCTTCAGTTTTTAGCTTCTTTGTGCGGCAGGGACATTAGATCTTGGTGTGTGCTCTTGTACAGGTTCTCCAGGTTGAATTTCAAATTTGATTATGTGTGGTGTTTTTGCCTTTTGTGACTCCATGTCCTCTTGCCTACAGGATAATGCTGTAAACCATAGTTCTTTAAATGTGTTTGCTCACCCTCTGCTTTGCCCTGTTTGCAGTGTACCACCAATTCCTGCTCAGCAAGGCTCAGCTCAGGGGACAGTTCTCAAACGATTTCTCACCTAGAATGAGTTAAAGAAATTAATACCTCTGATGCCTTCTCAGAGGGTGCCGCTTTTAAAAGTTGTTTGATCTTCACAGTATCCTTTAATAACTCCCTGTGATAATGTGACTAGTGGTAGTTAACTAAGTCAGGGCTTCAGATTTCAGCAGTTGCTTTGTCTGTAGTCTGTGTGGAATGATGGACCATTAGACTTGATTTTCTCCCCAGTGAATATTTTGATTTCATGAATCCATTTCCACCAAAGTCTTTTCTTTCTTTCTTTCTTTTTTTTTTTTTGGTCCCAGAATTTGATAATTCAAGTGGTGCCTTTAGTTCATTTGGGCTACTATAACAAAATATCATAAACCAGTTGCTTATAAACAGCAGAAGTCTTTGCTTTATAGTTCTGGAGGCTGGAAGTTCCAAGGTCAAGTTGCCAGCAGATTTAGTGTCTGGCAATGACTTGTTCTCTGATTCATAGGTCTTCTCACATGTGGAAGGGCCCAACCAACATTGGGGAAGGGGGGTAGGTAGGAGGTGTGGCTCTGTAGTAAGAGCAGTAGTATCATTCAGGAGGGTGGAACCTTATGACCTAATTGTTTCTGGAAGGCTCCAGCTTCTCATTATGCTGAGAATTAGGTTTCTATGTATGAATTTTGGTGAATACATTTAGTGGCTATTAGGTACATAGAATTATTCCAGGTGCATCTTTCACTAAATAGTGAAGTAGCTTATGAGTGCAGGTCAGCCATACCAAGACTGATTTACTGGGAGCTAATGAAACTCACGTTTCAGGTGTCCTCACTCTCAAGTGCCAACCCTGGAGACTTTTTAATTGTGGCATTATAGAATGGATACTTCTGCAAGCCCATTAATCCTTCAGTAGAGAAGAAGGACTTTCTCTGTAAGGATTAATTAACAAGAATATGATGTCAATAAAATACAATAGGCCGTGTAAAAAAGTCCTGAACCATGTTGCATAGCTATTACTTCAGCTAGAAGTATTTATTTTTAATAAACTTACTGAACTTAAACAATTTTAAATAAAAACAGAATGCTTGATTTTAAAGTTTTAAAAGTACCTCTGTGGAAGTCATAGACTGTCACTGCCAGCTTAGTGATTAATTTCCCTCAACCATTGTTCTCTTTTGACTTAATTACTGATTGTCGTTTGAAGAGCAGAGGTGGTCAACATTGATTGACCCTGTCTGTGTACTTACATTATAAGACTCCTAGAGAATTCAGTTAACTATATACTCAAAAGTTTGCTGTCTGGGCTTTTTAAAACTACCTTTTATTTTCACGGGTACTCAGACACAATTTTTGTAAGATAACTGTCACACTTTTCTTGGTTGTTTCCTAACTTATTTTCTCTAGTGGTCAGTGGCCAGTCATTTCCTACACTGAAGAGCATTAGATTGTTTGCAGTTTCGTTTTTAAGACATCCAGCATGACATTGAACTCTCAGGGAGCATCTCATGCACATGCATCAGGAAGTGGATAGATGGATGGATGGAAGTAGTGTCAGTCTGATTTGTTTCTGTGATCAATTTGCGTGTTCTTTTTTCTTTGTAACTCTTGTTTTGATTTTTGCAGCTTCGTAATTTTTCATATCAAGTTTCCCAGGTCTCCCTTTGCTATACTTCACAGATCTTTTGGCTTTCTAAGAACTTCCACATTCTTCTATAGGAAATTTAAACACATCCTGTTGCATGAAAAATTCTAGTGGGACTTTTGTGGCAGGAGATTGCATTGAATTTCTAGATTAATTTGAGCAGAGAACAGTCATATTTAGCTGTTAATCCTTCTGATACCCATTCTTGGACATGGGTAGTAGTTTTCTTCAGTTTAGTTCAGTTTTAAGCCCTTTAGTAAAACTTTGTAGTTCGATACATATATGTACATGTATGTTTATATGTGTTTGTGCTGTGTGTTGTACTTTCATCTGTTTTCTGTTAGACTTATTCTTAGGTAATTTTTCTAGCTATTAGGAATTTGATTTTTAAGAAGACTGATTTCTAATTGCCAGTGTTTAGGAGAATCACTAGGTTCTTTTATGTTTGTCTTGTGTCTGGTTCTTTTGTTAGACATTAATGATTTTAACTATCTGTTAGACCACTAGATTCTCTTGAGTAGACAGTCATACACTTTCTAGTTTTTTTTTGTGTGTGTGTGATATTGGAGTTTGAACTCAGGGCCTACACCTTGAGCCGCTCTACCAGCCCTTTTTTGTGATAGGTTTTTTTGAGATAGGGTCTCGTGAACTATTTGCCTACACTGGCTTTGAACCATGATCCTCCTGATCTCTGCCTCCTGAGTAGCTAGGATTACAGGCGTGAGCCACTGGTGCCTGGCTAATTATGGCTTAATACTTTTTTTCTCTCCTATCTTAGCAGGAGCATGCTAGAAGATAATGTTGCTGTGATTAGCTTCACTCTTTTGGACTGCTTCTATTATTTCACCATTGAAGTGTGGGCTCCCAAAATGTTTCATGAATATTCTTCTATCCATATTCACTGGTCTCTGTTACTTTTAAAAATCATGTGTGGGTATTAATTTGATATACGCCTTTGCAGCCCATTGACATTTTCAGTTTCTCAATTATCTGATGGTGGCAGTGACAGATTTTCGAGTACCGAGTTTTCCAGGTGTTCCTGGGGCACACTGTACTCGGTCACCATTTATTCTTTGGTAACTGTTGGACCATTTTGCTGCATTATTTATAGAGGGAGCTTAAACCTCTGCTTTGAGATTGACTCGTGTGTGTGTGTGTGTGTGTGTGTGTGTGTGCACTTGTACTGTTATGGTTTTGTTTTGTTACTAGAATTTCATTATTGTTTCATTATGCTTTGGTAGAATTTACCTAAAGTTTGGTAAACAGTTATTCAAATAACAATGAGCATTGATTTTTGGTGCATCTGGATAGGTAGCATTCCAGTTATTTTCATTTCTGCATTTAGTTAAAATTATTCTTAGCAGCTGGGTTGGTGCACACGTGTAATCCTAGCACTGTGGAGGGAGAAACAGGAGGATTAAGAGTCTTAAGGACAACCTGGGCTGGGCCTGAAACAGACACACACAAACTTTTGGGAACTAAACATTCCCTAAAAATATTGGAGTAACTATTTTTAAGAACTTTATAAACAACTATTTATATTTAGCATGTTATTTTAGAGTTGAAATCACATGGGGAAAGAAAGGCCCTTTAAGTCCTTGACTCGAACCTACTAGAGAGTGAAACAACACATTTTACCTTCCCTTGAGCATATGCAAAATTAATCTAAGAGATCACAGAAGCTTAATTTAGAAAAAGAGGAAGGTCTCCTTGAGTTCATTGTGGGTATTTAATGTTACCAAACTGAGAAGCTCTTTCACATGTGCTGTGTGGGATTACTGCCAGCTCGTTGCAAAGTTTCCATGGGATCCATTCGAAGTGGGAGAGAAGGACGAGTTCAGGTAGAATAATGGTAATCGAGACGTGTCTGCCAGTCCTTTGGGAACAGACAACTTGGCTGCATGTGTCACAGACGTTCCCAGTTTTTCCTCTTTGTGACTTCCAGTTTGCTTTCTCTTCTATGCCAAAGTCAGATTTATAAGCCCATTCGGAGGAATTTGAGTTGTGATTGTATATGCTTATCTGCACATAGTAAATGATCATAGATAGGGCAGAGGAACTTTTGTTTTCTGATCTTCCTCCGTCCTGACCTTCAGAGCATGCACACGTGTGTACACATATGTGCTTGGGCATATATTATTTATTGCATAGTTCATAGATGTAGCTGTGCTCCTTTTTTCTTTTCCGCTTAAGAATAGGTACTTTGTGTATCATTACATATTCATCACATATTTGCACATACATAACCCATTCTACTTAAGACCTCATGGCTTAGTATGTTTGCATTATAACTTAATTACTATTTCTCTGTTGACTTTTAAGTTATTTACAGTTTTTCAGATGGGCTTACTGGGTCAAAAAGTACACTGCTATTAAAAGAAGTGGTGTGTGTTATTTAGATTGCCTTACAGATAGCGTGCTTGCACTTTATCTTTCCTGCATGTGGATTGATACTGGTTTTATTATTCTCTTTATAGTGAGATTTGGCATTTCTCACTTTTGAATTTTAGTGTCTTCCAAGGCATCTCGGTTAATGTTCTTCCTTATCAGTCAGGAGTCATGCCTGATGCTAACGACAGTGGTCCTGCCATGCCCATGATCCCAGCTACGCAAGAGGCAGAGCTCAGGAGGATTGCGGTTCAAGGCCAGTCCAGGTAAATAGTTCTGCGAGACCCTATCTCGAAAAAACCCGACACAAAACAAGGCTGGTGGAATAGCTCAAGTAGCAGAGCACCTGCCTAGCAAACCCTGAGTTCAAGCCCGGTACCACCAAAAAAGGTAGTCCTGTGCTATGAACTTTTCTCCTAATCTGCCTGTCTTAACTTTTGAAAATACATACATACATGCATACATACATGCATATATACACACATACATATTTATTTATTTATTTTGCTTTACAGAATGTTTTTGATTTTGATAGTCAGTTATTCCTTTCATTATTACTACTGGTTTTTGTGTTATGCTTAAGTTCTCTATATCAACATTGTAAACTCCCTTCTGTATTCTCTCTGAGTATTTTTATAGTTTTGTTTTCTTTTAGATTATTCTATTGAAAAATGTTATTTTTATGTTTGAGGGTACAGGAATTGAACTTTTTAGGTTAATCTGTGCACTATTTCTCATGCCTGTAATCCTAGCTACTGGGGAGGCAGAGATTGAGAGGATCATTATTGAATGCCAGCATGGGCAGTAGTTCATGAGACCCCATCTCAACCAATAAGCCAGACATGGTAGCATATGCTTGTCACCTCAGCTATCTAGAAAGCATAAATAGGGCCCAGCCCAGTCATAAGCATGAGACCTTGTCTCAAAAATAACTAAAGTAAAAAGGGCTGGGAACATGACTCAGGTGGTAGAGCACCTGCCTAGCAAATGCAGGGCCCTGAGTTGAAACACCAGTCTCACTGCACTGCCCCCCCAACAAAAAAATTTTTTTAAGGTTCATATTGGAACTGAACATATCAGAAACAATATTTCTCTGTCAGATAGCCAATTGTGTCCCAATACTTTGTTGATTTTTCCATTTGAAAATGCTACCAATTAGCATATATACTTAGCTTTCACATATTTCTGAAATTCTAGCTTCATTGAACAATTGAACTCTTCTGCAACAGTATTATAGAATATTAATTACTTTGCTGTATGAGTACATTTTGATAAGTTAGTGTGCAAGTCTCACTATCCTTACTCTTTTTGTCCCAAATTCTCATGGCTATTTTTATGTATGTAGGTTGATTTTTTTTTTTTTAAGGAGTTCAAGTTTTAGAAATTGTAAAGTAGGTATTTTTTAAGTATAAACCTTGAAACATTAATGCTACCAATATTAATATTTCCACATGGTTTGTGTTGTTTTAAGTACTTTGGCGATATTGTTACAGAAGAAGCAATTATATCTTCATTATTCGGGGAGCAAAAACCTAGTCTGAGTATATGACTGTAAGGGAGGAACAATAAATTGGCCAGTGAGATTGTAAATAGTATGGCTTGAGGTAGACTGAGGCTCAGCCTCTCCCCTCCGTGCACACAGCCCAGTTCACATACTCATATTTAATGTGGTTGGTGCTAAACTGTTTATTGTGTTTAAATTTTATAAATTATTAGCATTTCCTCTATGTCATTAAAGCACTTTTATAAATATAACTAATGAATGTTTTATAGCCTACTTGTATTGCGTCCAAATCTGCTTAATCCTATCAGCATTTTTCAGTACACTTTTCTTTTACAATTATGATAGATGCAAAAGAGTGTCACATCTGAGTTACGGAGCATAGTAGTAAGAGGAACTGCTGGGAAGCAGCTCATTTCAAGAAGAGCCTTTCTAAATCCCTGAGCATCTAACATGTGTGCATTCATAACAGTAATTGTAGGCACACAGTTAAAAGTACTGCTGTGACTGCTCTTGGACTGACTAGGCTTTCTGTTTAAAGAGAGGATTAAAAAAAAAAAAGCCAGTGAAATGACTAGATCAGAAGTCACTAATGTTTTAAGCTGATGATGGAGGCGGCTATTAGTAGTTAAACTTGAGGACCACCCAGCCCTGGGCATTATTCAGCAAACAAAACAAAAACTGAGCTCACTTAATAGAGAAATGCTGTCTTTTAGTAAGTGCTTTTCTAGTTAAGAGTCATTCCATACTAACTTTTCACATTAAGGCCCTTTTGTGGGAAATATAATTCTCAATTTATTTTCTTTATATTTCTGCGCTTTTTGAGTTTAGAATTTGAACTTAAACCGTCCATTCACAAGTGTAAAGTTAGAATTTTTCTCATTTTTAAACTTTTAAACTTGTTATAATTCCTTAGGTGGAACTTATTTTGCCCAATGTTATGTCTTGAGGGTCTAAATGTTATAATTAGCTAATATTTTCACTATTGTTATGATTCCTCCTGCCCATTTACCAAAAGTAAATATCTGTGTGCACTAGGATCTGTTTGGGCCTGGTTTGCTGTATCACAGCTGGGTAACTTTTATCTGCATGATCCCATTTCATGGGACAAGCACTTCCCTGAAGAAACTTTGCAAGTAGAGCTTTCTTATTAACCATGTCTTAAATCTTGGTAATTCTTGTTTTGTGGTTATTGTGAAGTTACATCATCTTAACTTTTATCCTTGACTGAGTGATCCAGTAGCTAGCTATTAAAATTTAGAATGTAAAACACCAAGACAAGGACTGGGTATGAAAAATGATATTGATAGTGGAAGACCATTTATTCCCAGGAAAGGAAGAGATTTAGGAAGCATTTTTGAGGAGTGGCTGACAAAGTCCTCTATGGAAGTGATGCATGGGGCACAGCTGAGTTAACCAGCACTCTACGCTCTAGCTAGTTGTCTGGGCGGTGGGAGGTTAGAGTTCTTCCTCCACTGTCAGTCTGATGTTGGAGATGTGCTCATCAGATTTTGGGCCATCATTTTATTGTGGGCAAATGGGCTTTTCTCTTGGCCCTGTTTTCCTACTCATGCTGTGTTATCCTGTCTTATCTGGTAGTTTATATCACTAGATTAACTTTCCTTTTTCAGTAGGGCAGCACAGTTGTGTTCTGCACTACAACACTAAATGGGGACATGTTGGCATTATAGTGAACTCTAGCCATTGTCTTTTAGCCTTAAAATAAACAGAGATTTAAAAATTTCATTAACCTCAGTGTTGTAATTTACTGTATAACTAGACACCGACTCAAGGGCTTCCTTTTAGTTTTTTCTTTTTCCAGGGGTGGATGGCATCTTGCCTTTAAGTGTGCACATCTGTTATGAAAGTTAGAACAGCTGCTACCTAACTGCTGTTGAGGTCCTGTGATTGGGAGTGCCTCACACCCAGAGGCAGTACCCATAAATCTAAATCTCTGTACCTTGATAATGAAAGTATAGTTGGCCTCTGTGTCCACGGGTTCTGTATTTGTGAACTCAACCACCCGCGGATTGAAAATATTAAAACTATTTTGTCTATTCTGAATATACGTTCTCTAAACAAGGCAGTACTCCAGCTATTTACACAGTGTTTATACTGTGTTAAGTATTACAAGTAGTCTAGGGGTGATTTAAAATATACAGGAGAACGTGTGCAGATTCTATACAAACACTGAGTCATTATTTATGTAATAGACTTGAGCAGCTGTGGATTTTGGTATCTGAGGGAGTCCTGAAACAAGTCCCCTTCAGAACCACTGTACTACCTGGTGTGTGTGTGTGTGTGTCTGTCTGTCTCTGGGGCTGTTACTCAATTGAGGGAAGTGTATAGAGCCACACTCATGTGTCATTCATTGGCTGGGTGTGATGTCTTTATTACTGACTCCTAGCTCAGGTGCTGTCATGCTCAGACTGGAGTATGACATGATCTCCTCTAATCACTGCTGCACAGGTGGCAGTATCATGGCACAGGCTTACCCTGGGCCATATGACACCTAGCTCAGCTGTTTGGGCATCCTCTTAGGACAGGTGATTTCTGTCATGGCTGCTTGCTAACTTAGGGAGCCTGTTCCCTTTGCAGGTATCTTCATGTCAACATGAGGTGCATGGCATATGCAGTTTACACCTAAGAACTTCAGGATTAGAGAAGTGAATGGCAATGCCATTTCTTCTTTGCTTTCTGCTCATTTTGCCATTTGCCTCATCTGATAGCAGGTGTTTATGGCACTGGTTTTCAAGGAGGCATCTGAAACCTCCTCCTGCCCATGACATTTGGCAGTGTCTGAGGATACTTTTTGCTTATCAGGATCAGGTTAGGAGGTTTGTGAGGGTACCCCTGGTATCTAGTGTATGGAGGCTCTGACTATCCTACAACACACAAAATAACCTAGTAGGGCATTTGAGTAGCCTGGTGTTTGGGAGTGTGCTAGATATCAGTTGACAGGTGGAAAGTCTGGGGATGACTTTAGCAAGACAAGGGACATGGAAGAAGGCTGATTGGCAGAGAGACAGGAGAAGGGGGTGGGCATCCTGGAGAAGTGGTGGAGGGCTATTGACCCATCCCCAGTCTGTCTCCCCTCAGTTGGTCCTTATGCCTCAGGGATATACTTAGAGCTCTTAGAAGCCCAGCCAACTGTGGAGGGATCTAGGATCCCCTAATAAGTGCTTCCAACAGGTAAATGAAGATAGCTGTTTTCAGAAGATGTATCATTACTCTGTTGCTTCCGGGCTCTGAGTCCACATCTGACTCAAGTGATAACTAAAAATAGACAATATACTCTCAGTAAGGTCAAACAAAAGATGCTTAAACAGTTTCACCAATGATTAGCCATAAAGCTGGGACTCTTCTGTTTCCTCAGCACTAAGATTTTGTTGTGTATGTTACATATCAGCCTCAGTTACTAATTTAAAAAAAATTTTTTTTTTTTTTACACCTTTTGATGAAACTGGGGTTTGAACTCAGAGCCTCACACTTGCTAGGCAGGCTCTCTACCACTTAAACCACTTCGCCAGCCCCTTTTTGTATTGGATATTTTCTAGATAGGAGCTTGTGAATTATTTGCCTGGGTTAGCTTTGAACCATGATCCTTCTGCTCTCTCTCTGCTTCTTGAGTAGCTAGGATTACAAGTGTGAGCCACTGGTACTCAGCTTTAGTTGTTAATTTAGTTAGCAATTCAACATTCTAAACAGTCTGTGCCATGGGAAAGAAAGGTCAGTGCCCCCGGTGCAGAGATTCTGCTACTTGCT